ACAGACAATAGAGAGGCAAAATTATTGTCTTTTTTTTTTTTTTTTTTTTTTGAGACGGAGTTTCGCTCTTGTTACCCAGGCTGGAGTGCAGTGGCGCGATCTCGGCTCACCGCAACCTCCGACTCCTGGGTTCAGGCAATTCTCCTGCCTCAGCCTCCTGAGTAGCTGGGATTACAGGCACGCGCCACCATGCCCAGCTACTTTTTTGTGTTTTTAGTAGAGACGGGGTTTCACCATGTTGACCAGGATGGTCTCGATCTCTTGACCTTATGATCCACCCGCCTCAGCCTCCCAAAGTGCTGTGATTACAGGCTTGAGCCACCGCGCCCGGGTCTTTAATTGCCCTGAAGCTTCATGGAAGAGTTGGACAAGTATACACACAATGTGTTGCATACTACACCAGAGGTATGTCTGGGGTGTGGTAGTAGCAGAGTGGAGGCAAACTAGTTCTGCCCAACAAGGGGAAACTGCAAAGCATGGGGCATGGTGAAAGTAGTCTTCCAGGGCTTTGGACTCTAATGTTTCTTAAAATATTAAACACTAGCGTGTTGACTGTATTAAGTTTTATTTAGTCCCCACAACAAATCTGTGAGGTGGGTGTCATCATCTCAATTTTACATATGAGCAACTGAGGCTCAATGCTGGTCTGGTTATAGAGTCCCTATTGAATGCTAAGTGGTGTAAATCTAAGTTCCTTCCTTGCAGAGCTCACATTCCACAGGTGAAATCACTTCCCCAAGACAAAATTGGAATGTCAGAGCCAGGATTCAAACCCTCATCTAGTGGCATCCCACCTTACCCCCAGAACTCACTAGACCTCATGACATCCTCTTACAGGGAACATAGACTCTCCCTGCCAGCCCCTGCCAGGAATTTGAGGATTTAGGAGCAAGGCTGGGTCAATGATAGGAGAGGCTCTGCTATTCCTATGGAAGCTTCTGTTTCCCAAGCATTGCCTAGGCAGCCCTGCCCCAACAAGAGATTGAAGGCCTTAACACACCAATGTTTTCCCCAGGGAGGGAGGCAGAAGCAGCTTCCCCAGGGGATTTCAAGGGAGGATGGAGGAGGTCTCTGTTCTGGGGTCAGAGTGACACCCTCTTCCTGCTTAGGTGGGGAATCCCCTTGGATTTCTCTGGGTTTATGGCAGAGACCTATTGTTTTCCTACAGATTAGGCCCTCAGGGGAGGAAAACTAAAGACTAGGACAAGTCATAGGACACTAAATCAGCCTCAGGCATCTGAGTGGCTCCTTAGGTTTTGGGCTTATTCTTGCCCTCCCATGCCCTCGGCCTCAGGCTGCCATGAGACCCATTGCACTGCCACTGGGCAGTGATATCCTCTTTTAACCCAAGGAAACAGGAGATTGGCAAACCCCCTTATCCAAGGTAAAAAAGACAGGATTGTTTATTAGAGCATTTGCTCGTAGTAACAATCATAGGAAACAATGTAAATGGCTGATGTTTAGGAATTAAATAAAATATGGTAAAAATCTACATGTAATGAAATACTGTGCAGCCATTAAAACCCATTATGTAGAAGAAAATTAATTTCATGAGAAGAGTGCTTTATAACAGATTTAGTCAAAATTCCGATCATAAAATAATGTACATGATCTCATTTTAAAAAAATACATATATATATATATATATATATATATGTGTGTGTGTGTGTACACACACACACACACACACACGTATGCATAGAAAAATGTCCAGAAAGATGCATCCAAAGTTAATTGTAGTTATCTCTGGGTAGTAGAATTATATGTTTTCTCCTGTTTCCAATATTTCCAAGTTTTCTTCAGTGAAAATGCATGTATTTTGTAATCATGGAGGAAAAGTTCCCACAGTATGTATTGGCAAGAGAAGAGGATTGTTTTCCTTTTGGCCTTGCACTTAGATGGCCCAAGGCCCCAGCCTTGTTCTAGGAATGCAGGTAGAAGCCTTGTTTCAGGAATGCAGGGGAAGGCTGGGAGCAGCAGAGGAAAGGCCCACTTGAGGAAAATAAGCTGGGCATGGCTGTCCAGGTCTCATCCTAAATGTCATCTCCCAGAGAGGCACCTGACCACACAGCGTAGCAGAAGGAGATTGCTCCCACACTTACTCTCTACATTTCACCCCAGCTTACTGTCTTCATAGCATCTGTCCACATCTGAAGTTACCTACCTGCATAACCATTTCCTTGCTGATTATTTATCTCCTGCACAGAAGGCAAGCTCTCCAAGAGCAGAGTCCCTGTCTGTCTTGCTCACCCTGACTTCCCATCAGGAGAAAGGACCCAAGCCAGATCTTGGTTGGCAAGCAACTCAGCAGCCCCAAACTATGGGCATTTATTCTAAGGCTACCCACGGCAGTGAGAAAAAGGAAATAACTTCATGGGAATCCAGAAACGGGTGGAGAGCTGGCTTACAGGACCAGACCTGGGTGGTGCTCAGCAACCTGGAGGACCTGGCCCAGTGTTAATAATAACAGTGGCCACGTACAGGTGTTGAGGAAGTGCCAGCTTTCTGTTTTCCATTTTATAAATAAGGAAAGTGAAGGTAGAACCAATGTAGCTTAGATCCCGCTCCCCTCTGCTTCCAGCCCTCTTGCTGCCACCAGCCAGCTCCATGCCTCAGCTCCCAACTTCAGCTCCTCTTTAGAAGCTGCTATCGTCAGGTTCTTTTTCTTTCTTTCTTTCTTTTTTTTTTTTGAGCTCTTGTTACCCAGGCTGGAGTGCAATAGCGCGATCTCGGCTCACCGCAACCTCCGCCTCCTGGGTTCAGGCAGTTCTCTTGCCTCGGCCTCCTGAGTAGCTGGGATTACAGGCATGCGCCACCATGCCCGGCTAATTTTTTTTGTACTTTTAGTAGAGACGGGGTTTCACCATGTTGACCAGGATGGTCTCGATTTCTTGACCTCATAATCCACCCGCCTTGGCCTCCCAAAGTGCTGGAATTACAGGCTTGAGCCACCGCGCCCGGCTATCGTCAGGTTCTCATCCCAGCCATTCCACTGAACCAGCCCTGACCAGTATCACCTGTGACTTCAAGATGCTAAATCCAATGGTTAGTTCTCTGTCCTGTCACAGTGGACTACTGCATCCTCCTTGGAAGTCTTTCTCCAGGTTTCCCTCCTACTGTACTTGCTAGTACTTTTCAGTCTCTTTTGCTGAGCTACCAAATGGGGCTCAGTCCTTGGACAGCTTCACTATTGATGTCCACCCTCTTGGTGATCTCATCCTGTGTCACAGCTTTAAAGAACTATGTGCTTGTGCTGAGCACTCACAAATACTCATTTCCAGTCTGGAGCTTTCCCCAGACTCACAGATTCACCTGCCTATAGGCTTCTCCACTTAAGTGTCTAAAAGGCGTCCAAAACTGCATTCCTTACCTTCCCACAAAACATGCTCCATCTGTAGGCTTCAGTTCAGAAAATGGCAATTCTATCCTCCTAGTTGCTCAGGCCACAACTGGGAATCTTCCTGCTGCTCCCAGCGAACTCTGTCTGCTAGTTCACAGCTTCAGCTCCTTTCTTTTTAACCTGCCCCAGTCACCTGACTCATCCCATTCTTTTTAATCTCTCACTTCCAATCCATCAGCAAGTCCTCCATGCTACTGCTCTGGTCCAAGCCACCATTGTCTCATGCTGAGATTTCTGCCATAGTCTCCTAATTACTTCTAACCTTTCATTCAGTTTATTCTCAACACAGCATCCAGAATGGTCCTGTTAAAATGTGAGTCACATCATGTCACTTCTCTGTAAAAAAAAAAAAAACAAAAAACCCTAAAACCCTCTAGTGGCTCCTGTCTCAGAATCAGAGCCCAAGTCCACACAAGGACTTCCCTTGAATGCTGTGAACACTGTGGAGCCTCTTGCCACCTCTCTGATCCCATCTCCTACTTCTCCCTTATTCACTCGACTCTGGCTGCACCACCCTCCTCACTGATCTGTTAGCACGTCAGACAGGCCCTCACCACCAGGCTTTTGCACTTGCTATTCCCTCCACCTGAGAAGCTTCTTCCCTGTTAATTCTCAGGGCTCATGTCCTCACTTCTTTCAGGTAACTTTGTTCATAAGTTACCTTCTCAGGTGTCTAGCCTTCTCTGGACACACATTTTAGAATTTTGACACCGCTTCTCATCTCCTGCCGCAACATTCCCTGCCTCTGTCTCCTGCCTTATTTTTTTCTCCCTAGTACTTATCACTTCTGACTCCTATTTTTTTTTTTTTTTTTTTTTTTTTTTTTTTTGAGACGGAGTTTCGCTCTTGTTACCCCAGGTTGGAGTGCAATGGCGTGATCTCGGCTCACCGCAACCTCCGCCTCCTGGGTTCAGGCAATTCTCCTGCCTCAACCTCCTGAGTAGCTGGGATTACAGGCACACGCCACCATGCCCAGCTAATTTTTAGTATTTTTAGTAGAGACGGGGTTTCACCATGTTGACCGGGATGGTCTCGATCTCTTGACCTCGTGATCCACCCGCCTCGGCCTCCCAAAGTGCTGGGATTACAGGCTGAGCCACCGCACCCGGCCTGACTCCTATATTTTTAATTCATGTATGTTAGTTTTTGGTCTCTTCACCACCACCACCCACCTGCCCCCTCTGCCCAGTAGACTGCAAGCTCCATGAGGGCACAGGCGTTTTTTGTCCAATGCTGTATTCCCAGAGTCCTAGGATGGTGCCTGGCATATAGTAGGTGCTCAGTAAACATCTGATGATTAGATGTATCCATAGAAATGAATAGACTACTTACTGTTTATATAAGGCCTTGAGACGAAGTGGAAAAGGCACTGAGGTTTCTGCCAGTATAGGAGCATCAACAGCTCCAATGAGAAAGAAAGCCTCTGAGTGGAGAATGCCCCTGGGTGGAAGTTCTGGTGTCCTTGTCTGGCCTGGGCCAGCATGCTGCCAACTCACACCTCAGTGGCTTTCAAAGAACTCACCACAAATGGGCTCTCATCTTTCAACTTCCATCCAGGCTTTGCCTTGCTTCAGTCATTTACTTGCCTTATTTTTTGCAGGTGCCAGAGTTCGTAGCTTATTGGAGGAAAACAACATCAAGGTAAGAAAACAGTAAGACCATGTCTAGTTTAGGACTTCCTAATACTTAGCCTTGGAAAGTGTCCAAGGAAGACCAGTGCACTAAATGTTGGCAGCTGGGTAAAGGGAAGGCCCAAGGGACTTGTGTTGACTTGCTGGATAGAGTGAGAGTCCTGGGGACAGTGAGGCAGCTCAGTATAGTCAGTGATGGCTGTGAGGTCTTTAGACCCAGGAAGACAGTATTTCACTTGGAAAAATGTGGCAGCCTCCCCCAAGCTAGTGGGTTGTGGGACCACAGCATGGCCTACCTGCCCTGCCTTCCCTCCCTCCCTCCAGGTCTCCCCTTCCTCACTTGCCCAGAAGTGCTGCCTGGACCACTGAAGACATAGCAGGCTGCTGCAGAGGGTCTAGGGCATTTTTTTTTTTTTCATGACTGGTTTAGCTCTAGATCAAGAGGACTATACTAAGATCTTCCAGCATAGGACTTCTCTGATTCTGTGTGTTAAATCGCAGTCCAAATTTTGTTAAGATCCTCAGCAAATAAATGGATGTGGGAAATGTGTGGTTGGGAAAGAGGCAGCTTTTAAAAATGTGTCTGGCCTTTGACCAAGCAATTTCATTTTCCAGAATTTATTCTAGGAAAATACTCATATTCGTGCAAAGTTTATGTACAAAGATAGTTATAACTGCATTGTTTATCAACTGCATTGTTTACAAAAAGGAAACATCCGAAAGCCCGACAAAAGAATTGGTTTTTCCATGCTGGCACATCCATATGAGGGAATGTCATTAGGCAGAATGATGAAGATACATATTCACTGATGAGAAAGATATTTAGATATATTATGTTTTAAAAAGAAGAAATGGAAAAATCTTATAAAACATTCAAAGAAAGTAGCTTTGGATTCAGCCTAAAGGGTTGAAATCCAGCTTAGTCTCTAAACCAACTTGGGAACTCAGGCAAGTAATGTGATCTCCCTAAACTTGTTTCCTGCCTGCAAATTAGGCATAATTACACCTAGCTTGTGAAGTTGGAAGGATTAAGCGAGATTAACACATCTAAAGGCCTCAGGACAAACCAGTAGGTGATGATTACTCAGTAGCTGAGTGCTTAGATGAGACACGGACTGTGATCCTATAAGCCTGGAAACATTCTGGAAATTTATATGCCAACAGTGGAGTTTTCTGACTGATCGAATCATGGGTGATTTTTAATGTTTTCTTATTTCTCTACAAGAAATTATCTCCCACTTATCTAAGGATAATGTAGTTTAAAAAAAATTAAAGACTTAAAAAAAAAGCAGTGCATTTCAGCAGGTAAGTTTGCTAAGTAGTCCCTGCACAGAGCTCTGGAGAACTGAGGAAGAGGTGGGAAAGAAAGTGAATAGGAAGGACAGTGGGTGAAGGAAAAGAAAGTAGGGGAGGTCAGACCTCAGGGCTAGTGGCCAAGGAGATGCATCTCAGCAGTAATGCTGGAGCCCCAGCAAGCATGTGTGTGTCCTCCCATCCCCCATGATTGGCACCTCCCTGGGAAGCTCCAGGTAGGAGATCTGGTAACCCAAGGCTCATCTGTCCCAGCTCTGATGACAAGAGTAATGAATGGAGGAAACTGGTTGAAATCCTCCCCAGTTCTCACCTCCGTACCCTGCCCCACACAGCTGGAGACAAATACACTGATTAGGAGAGAGACAGGCTGGAGGGAGGGCAGATGAATACAGAGATGAAAACAGGAAGGTAAGGAAAAAGTCTGAAGACTGAAGACCGAAGAGTGGGACTCAACGTCCTACCCACTTACCTTGCCCCATCCTGCCCCAGGTATATATCACCTGGATGAGAGTATGGTGAATTTAAAAGATGGTTGCAGATTCTTTGACATTTCTCCAATGAAGAGGTGGGTCTATGTCTCCTTCCCTGAACCTGCATGGATTTCTGACTACAGTGGAAATGAGTTATGTGACTTCCAAGGTTGGGACATACACAGCCATGTAGCTTCCGTCTTCCTGGCCAGAATACTCACATCAGAGTCTTGAGCTGCCTCGTAAGAGGTCCAATGACCAGACCACGGTGCTGGAGAGACCACGTGTAATCTCTCTGGTCAACAGTTCCAGCTGAGCCCAGCCTCCCAGCTCTCCTTGCCAAGTGAACAACCATCTTACAAGTGGACCCTTCAGCCCCAGCTATTCCAACTCCCAGTCATTCCAGTCATCCCAGCCACTGTAGAGCAGAGAAGAGCTGTGCCCTTCTGAATCTTTGACTGTGGCCTCCAAAATGATTGTTGTTTTATGCTACTAAGTTTTGGGGTGGTTTGTTATGCAGTGATCGATAACTGGAACTGGGAGTTAGAATGCTTCTCTTGAGAAGCTGAATGTCTTCAGGGTGGTGGTTCTCAACAGGGCAACTTTGTCCCTGGGACATTTGGCAATGCTTACAGACATTTTGGTTATCACAACTCTGGGAGAGGGGTTACTACTGGCATTTAGTAGGTAGAATTCACTGCTGCTGCGAAACATTCTACAATGCACAAGACAGCCTCTGACCATAAGGAATTCTTTGGCCCAACGTGTCACTAGTACCAATGCTGAGGAACCTAGAAAAGGTGCTCATTAAAGGCTTGTTAACTAAAAGACTGGCTTGCTTCCTATAGTGAAGCTCCAGTTGATAAATTCTTCCCAAGCACACACAGAGTTTAGTTCAGCTTTTTATTGCTCCATTAATACCAAGGTATTTGGCATTTAAGGAAAGCCTGCAGCAAGAAGAGATGGAGAGACAGAGAGAGAGAAAAAGAGAGAGAGAGAGAGAAAGAGAGAGAGAGAGAAGGAGAACAGGAAGAAGAAGAAGAAGAAGGGGAAGAAAGAGGAGGAGGAGGAAGAGGAAGTAGAAAAGAAAAAGAAGAAGGAGGAAGAGGAGGAGGAGAAGAAGCCACTGCCTCCTCCAAGTAGAAACAAAAACAAAATAGAGAATAGAAGAATATTAAGACAAATGGACAAATAAAAAATAGTTCTAAAGAGGAGTAAGATAGAGATAGTATATGCATAAAAAAGAATGTGATGTTTTTGAAAAACAGGCAGAACAAGAATGAGTACTAGGATATTAAAAAAAGCAAGCCAAAATTAAAAACAAAATCGGCAGAAGGGTTGGAGTATGAAGTCTACTTTTCCCAAGAAAGTAGACCAAAAAGGCAAAGAGATGAAAAATAGGAGAGAAAATGTAGGGAAACTAAAACATTAATCCATATGATCCAGTAGATAAAACAGAGGAAGAAAATTATTAAAGAAATAATGTGCCCGGCACGGTGGCTCAAGCCTGTAATCCCAGCACTTTGGGAGGCCGAGGCGGGTGGATCACGAGGTCGAGAGATCGAGATCATCCTGGTCAACAAGGTGAAACCCCGTCTCTACTAAAAATACACAAAAAAATTAGCAGGCCGGGCGCGGTGACTCAAGCCTGTAATCCCAGCACTTTGGGAGGCCGAGGTGGGTGGATCACGAGGTCAGGAGATCAAGACCATCCTGGTCAACATGGTGAAACCCCGTGTCTACTAAAAAAAATACAAAAAATTAGCTGGGCATGGTGGCACGTGCCTGTAATCCCAGCTACTCAGGAGGCTGAGGCAGGAGAATTGCCTGAACCCAGGAGGTGGAGGTTGCGGTGAGCCGAGATTGCGCCATTGCACTCCAGCCTGGGTAACAAGAGCGAAACTCTGTCTTAAAAAAAAAAAAAGAAATAATGTAAGAAAATCTTCCAGAACTCAAGGATGCTACATAACTCAGCAGTGATGAATATCTCCACATTCACTATTGAGTTAACCACAAATTGTATTATATTCTTATTAGGAGGATGGAGGGAGGAAAAGTGGGGATGGTTCTGTAGGAAACTTCAGTCCTCATCTACCACAAGAAGTCAGCAAATGCCTAAAATTGATAGATAAAAAACTAGTATAAACAGAAATGGAAACTAATAAATGGTTGAAAAAGGCAGTCTATAGAGAGGGGACTAAGAAAGGTGGGGAAGGATTTTTATTCTGAACTTCTCAGTTCAACTGATATTTAAATCATATGTATGCATTATTTTTTATTTTATTTTTAATGGATACATAATAATTGTACATATTTATACAGTGCAGTGTGATGTTTCCAGATCTACATATAGTGGGTCACAATCAAATCAGGCTAATTAGCATATCTATCACCCTAAACACTTGTCATTTCTTTGCAGTGACAACATTCAAAATCATCTCTTCTAGCTATTTTGAATTTTTGCATTATTTTGATAAATATGATAAAATAGAAATTAATTTAAAATGGGTACAATTTTAAAACTACAATGTGATAGGAGCAAATTTAATAATTTGGAAAATTCACTTACATAGAAGAGCCATGCCCCTCTAAGAATGCTCAATGAACTGGCATGGGTGGATACAAGCACTGCCAGCATGGAAGCGTTCCTCCTGATGTCACTGGCCACTAAGGTGGTTGGTGGGGTGGGGGTGGGGATGAGAGCCAGGCATGGCAGCCCTTAGATGTTCACCGGTTCCCTTTCCTGGCAGGCTGTATTTGCTTGGGAGACCTGTCTCTTGGGTATAGATCCTACTTGGCTGCCAAAGAAGAGAGGTGCTAGTTTTTTTAGGATAGCTTCTGGGAATTCACTAGGATGCCCTACCTCTCCTCTCAGGACATGGAAAAAAATGCTGGGTTTACCAAAGGTAGATGAGCCAGGCCCAGGACTAGAGTCACAGGGCCTCTCCCTGGATGTGCTATAGTTAGGCTATGTCAGCAGCTAAAAGAGGCTACACACATTTATTGTCATCAGAAGCTGAGACAATGAGCCTTGGGTCACCAGATCTCCTACCTGGAGCTTCCCAGGGAGGTGCCAGTCATGGAGGATGGGAGGACACACACATGCTTGCTGGAATGGACACATACCTGCTTGTGGATGGTGGGGCTGCTGTATCTTAGCACCACCATCCACAACCCCTGGTCTTTCCAAGTCTGAGCTCCTCCTGCAGGGTTCCAGGGGTGAAGT